CTGTATTATCGGTTAACGTCTAGTAAAACACTGTAGGCACACCCCCAATCAAACCTCAGGGTACACCCCATCTCTCAGCTACGGTGCAAGAGGCCCATTTTAAATTTTTTAAAAAATCTAAAATGAGCCTTTGCACTGTAACTGAGAGAGGGTGCATCCTGAGGTGTGGTTGGAGTGTGCCTGCAGTGCCACTCTAAAGTCTAGGGCTTCTTTCTTCATTCACCTCTCTGAAGTCTCGCTGTCGAAAATGATGAGCAAAAAGAGGCGAAGGCTCGATCCTCCATCGATCCACCCTCGAAACAAATACTCAGAAAACCCCCCGGATTTCTCTCTCCTCGCCTCTCTCTACCCCTCGTTCGCGCCCTTCGTCTCCGTCTCCTCCCGCACCGGCCGAGCCTCCATCGACTGGACCGACTTCAACGCCACCCGCGAGCTCACCCGCGCCCTCCTCCACCGCGACCACGGCGTCAGTTGGTAGAGCTCGAACTTGAGCAGGCCTAGCTTTGTCAAAAATTAGGGTTCTTGATTGATTCGGGGGTTGGTCTACTGTTTCTGCTGGTTGTTGTCTGAATTATAATGCACCTGATTGATAGCTGAAATATTTTTCCGCGTTGCTCAACTTTAATTAATTCTATGATAAGATTTTCGCTATCTGCTCAGTGTTTAGATTTCTTTACTGTGTTTGTTAATTTGTGGAAGAGAGGTCCATGTTTTAGGGTTTTGGAATAAATCCTGGCGTTAATTAGATGGTTTGCAGGTGGATTCCAGACGGGCAGCTCTGCCCTACGGTGCCAAACAGATCGAACTACATCCACTGGATTGAAGACCTTCTGTCCTCGGAGCTCATCCCGCCGAGCGACGGCTCTGACGGCAGAGTGAGAGGGTTTGATATTGGGACTGGGGCCAATTGCATCTACCCGCTCTTGGGCGCGTCCCTGTTAGGATGGAGCTTCGTTGGCTCAGGTGGAACTCTCCATTCTTTCCTAGGGTTTGTGTTCTTGATTAAGCATTGGCAGATGCGCGATGTATCAGCTTGTTGTAGGAGTGTTTGATATCGTTTGTTGTACGCGTGGTTATAGATGTGACAGATGTAGCTCTCGAATGGGCTAGGAAAAACGTGGAAAGCAATCCTCACCTCTCTGAGCTGATTGAGATTAGGAATGCTAGTAGTTCATCATCATGCCCTAATGGTGTCGTCCCGAGTTTTAGAGAACCCTCTGCAGTTGATGATGCAGAGCAGACTGTTACCCAAGAGGTAGAATCTCCTAGTCAAAATGGGGAGGGTGGTTGCTATAAAGGACCATCGATACTTGCAGGTGTAGTCAGAGATGGGGAACATTTCGACTTTTGCATGTGCAATCCTCCGTTCTTTGAGAGTGTGGGGGAAGCAGGGTTAAACCCAAGAACCTCCTGCGGAGGGACTCCTGAGGAGATGGTGTGCCATGGAGGGGAACGGGCTTTTGTTACACGCATTATAGAAGATAGTGTTGTGCTGAAACATTCTTTCCGGCAAGATTATTTTAGTTTCTTTCAAGATCACCTTTTTATGTTTGTACCTTTAAAATGGAAGTTGTTATGTGGTCTGTTGCCATTTTGGTTGTAGGTGGTTTACATCAATGATTGGGAGAAAATCCAACTTGAAATCTCTAATTTCAAAGCTTCGGGAGGTTGGTGTCTCAGTAGTGAAGACCACTGAATTTGTCCAAGGGAAAACATGTCGATGGGGCCTTGCATGGTCTTTCCTTTCCCCACGCAAAAAATTAATTGAGTCTAACTCGCTCAGGAGGAATAATCATTCTTTCATGCTCGAGGTTTGACCTTTATACCTTTTATAGATGCCTAATTTAATTGTTGACTTTCGAATATTCCATCACAGATATATTTTTTTTAAAATGACGGTATGTGCTACTGATACCAATTCCGAAGAGAATTTTAGTGCTAGAAGTGTGATGGCACTTGATTTAT